GAGATTACTGAATATCTTTAAAATACCTATGATATCTACGATCTACCCATGTAGGTACCTACCCAAACGTTCGCTGATTTACCAGGTAAAATAAATATTATAAAATATCTTTTACTCGATGTGTCCAAACGTTCCGTCTATTTGTACCCACCAAAACCTTGTTGGCTTCTGGGCTTATATATACCTGCGCCCACATACACTGTAATACGACTGAGGTAAAACATCTTACATACCTACTAACTTATCTAAACTAGACCGGTATTTTATAAAATATACCTAGATGTTGTATACACAATAACAATATTAAATATTAATAAAATAACAAATTATAATTTACTGTTAACATGGCAAATTATGCTGAAAAAATTAAGGTGTAAATTACTTACTAGATAATTAGAAAATAGGTAAGATAATGTTAAAATTCTAAATCACGAAAAACTCAAAAACTTGTAAAACGTTTTGATTCTAACAATTAACGATAGATGCAAAACGTTTAAATCGTTTTAGCTCTAAACAGCGTTAGGTAAGTGCAAGACTTTAGACTTGTATGCCGTCTTATTATTTATAAATAATGATAAACTCAAAAAATTGTAATTGCAAATGACGTATCTAAAACGACATATTTTTTTCAAATGCGAGCACTGCATAAGTAACAACATAAAAACGAAGTCGATGTTAGGTCAAAAACTAGTTTTATACTTAAAATTCAAAGTTTTTCAAGACGTTCATGTAAGCTTCTGAGATTTTTTTACTCTGACCCCCAGAGTGCCAAATCGATTCACTTTCCTTCCAAAATATATTATGGTGAAGTAGTAGGTATATTGAAACATTTTTACTGCCCCAAGAGGCGATGACAGACACACAGAAGAAAACATCATTAACGTAATATCTCGTAAAATCACACATTCATCGCTCCGCTCAGAATATCAAAAATTCGATAATTCAAAATATATCTGTTCAGAAATGTTATCGAATTAATAAGTAAAATTTGTTAATACTTAAAAAAAAATAAAAACAAGTAATATTCATGTAGCTAGTTTTGAGCAATTGCCGTAAGGATTGACGATTGACGGACGGACGTGCATAGCGTATGGTTATTGGTTACACTACGATGGTTACGAGGTACAGCTCACCAGTCGCCATCAAATAATAAAAAATCCAGTCTGCAGGATGGGGTGTTGTGGTGAGAACGTTTCTGCATTCATACCATAACTGAGATAACCTAATAGTGCAAAAACCATTTAAATGGTATAATGATTGTACATTTTAATTAAATATTTGAAAAAACAACAATTATTGGTATGTTGTTATTTTTTCTAAGATTATCTTTTCTTATTTTACAAAAGTTTAGTTCACGATTTACCGAATAAATAATAATGTATTGAAATAACAATACTGTTTCATTGTTCTTATAAAACAATACATTTTTTAAATAACGGATATTAATTTGAGAACAAGTTTCAGGCAGTTTTGGTGAGAATTCATATCAAAAACATATTCATAATAATATTGTGTCATTAACATTTCAGTTGTTACTCTGAAAGAGTACTTTTTATTTCCTTTTTTAATTATATATTTATTACATATAAAATATATTTTTGATTTATGCCACTATAATTATTACTAGTGTACAATATCAATATGTAATTTTTTAAATTATAGAAAGATACTAAATTGTATTTTATACATACACATGCAAACAACTTTAAATGCAATTAAAATGCATACTTTCAACAGGATCACCAATAAAAAGTTTTAAAATGTGGCACGGTGTGCATTATATGTAAATATTTTAACCATTTTAATATTAAAATGATTAAAATCCATAAACTTTTTATGACTACACATGATATTCAAAATAAATGTTATCTTTATTATAAAGTTTGATACATAATAATAATTTTGTAAGTACCAAGTAATTACAATTGATGTGCATGCTGCAGTAACCATCTACATTATTATCTACATTATACATATTTATCTATAGTTGACATAGTATATTTTACCTAACTAACTAATTTAATACAACTAGTGAATTATATTGTATACAAAATAAACGTATATACTTATCAATACATGGTTAAAATATATTTGAATTAGGTAAGTTATATAATTTTCTTAGATATGTAATATAATGTATATCTAATTTTAAAAGCTATTAGAGAGAGAAAACTGTCGAAGAAGAGATTTCGGCTGTATTTAATAGCTGTTTCGTATCATTTAACAGGAACTTATAAACATTAATAGTAATACAATATGATTTAATAATAGGCAATAAGTAATTAACAAAATAAGTGTAACAGAAATACTGTAAGGAGACAATACACAATATAAGAAAATAAAACGCATTGTTAATACTGCGTGAGTAATTTGGTATTTTTAAGTACTAAATTTACATAGTTGAGCAACTCGTAGTATTGCAAAAATAAAAAAAAAACACAATTACATAAAAAGATAATAAGGTTAAGCCTAGTTTAAGACTAAGGAGACAGGACATTATGTGGACAAATGTTTGGGAATGCTTGTATCCCTATTATTATATATTTGATGGCACAAAACAATAACTTACATGCAAATAAAAAAAAAATACATTCCATTTATGCTATTTATGGACGGCGGACAAATTATTATAAGGGTGGTTTAAATTAATTGAAAACTTGGTGAGTAAAAATAAAACTAATTAGATAATCTTTTAAAGAAATAATATAAGAATTAGAACTTTTGTTTGTAGGTAGACAAATAATAATTTATATGTTGAGGAAGATAATTTCAACAATAATTTTCATTTATTACAACCTATTTATGGAAAATCATAACAAGAATAAAAATTACAAAAAGTATAAAAGAATGATAAACAATAATAATATATATGTGTGTTTTATAAAGTGGGCTAAGGTGTTTTCCTATAAGGTATTGGAAAAAAAGAGTATACATTTTTCATATAATATAATATGTTGATTTAAGGCACTCGTTTTACTTATGGTAAGTGATTTATTTAATTGTGTAACATTTTATATATGATGAACTTACATAACCTACATTCAACGATTGGATCACATCATATCACAGGAAAATTTAATTTAAAAAATAAAAATGTATCTGAACAATTATAAAATATTTAACAGCAATATTTAATAATCTGTATTTGATATATAATAAAATAATGTTTTAATAAATTTATCATTGCTCAAGCTCTTGAAACTTTTTTTCTTAACCTGATTGGCAAATAATTAAATACTATCTTTGTTCAAACGATAACCCAACTAAGAATTTAAATCAAATACAAAACATGTTTGTGAAGTAATAATCTCATAAAAGTTGAATTAATAATTTAAATAAATGGTTTGGGTTGAGATTTGTCAAAAATTTAGCATAGTATGTTTATAATAATATAAACGACAAAAGCATAAAAAAAAATGATCAATTAAAATATTACTGATGTGATTGAAATATTTACAAATATATGTAAATGTATGTATATAAATACAAAAAATGAGAAAATATACAATAGTTGTTTAAGAAAATAAAAAAACTTTTACGGTTACAATAAGTTGGTAAACATATTAAAGTAAAGGATTCAAATTAAGACTATGTGTGATGATGTAAATAATTAAAATAACCATGAGAAAACACTTTATAGAGGGGGGAATATTGCAACATGGTCAGTGTGTTAAAATTTAAAAAAAAGTAATTTATGTGAGATTAATAATAATTTTTATCAAATAATATTGTTCCTACAAGGAATATTGCATTAAATATCAGGACTTTTTATTATGTGTTTATTATCCCGAATGGTGACTTGGGTTATGTATGGTCCTTGTTGTGGAGAAGACCTTTGCTGTTGCTGTTGCTGTTGTTGTTGATGATGATTGTAATGATGGTACATACCACCGGTATAATTGTTGTTGTTTGTCGGCCCTCTGTGTTGGAGCTGCTGCTGAGGTGTACTGTTTTGGCTTTGAGAATCACTGCTTCCGTACAGTGCATAGTTGGGCGACTTGGTGGCTGGAACAGGATAATGATGCCGAGATAACGACTGTTGCTTTTGACTACGACCAGCACCATTTTTGTTGTTGTTCGTTGCTGCCACAGCCGCAGTTTGAGTAACACTGCCTACTAAACAGGGTAAGAGCGTGTGTGTGTAGGTGTGCGTGAGTGAGAGAGATTGAGTGACAGGCCGGCGGCTAAACATAAGTACGGAGGTTGGTGGGAGAGGGGGACAACTCACCTTGTCTAGTCAACGAGTTAGAATTGTTGTCCACCAGACGCGATGTGCCGCCGGTCGTGTATGGTAGAGATCTCATCACGCTTTCATATTCGTAATAATTAGAACTAGGTCGTGCAACAGTTTCCTTAGGGTCGCGTCTTTGAGAATGATAATGCAACTGTCTACGGCTACAGGAAAAAAAGAAAAAACACAATTAATAAAATTATCTTAATTAGTCATTAAATGTTCAAGCACCAAAAGCCCTAAATATTAAACGTTTAAACAAACTAAAAATAAAAATTTGTAAGTTTTAATAACAATAAAATGTTTTATTAAAGGTCCAAATATTATAAAAAAATTAACTCTATATAAATAGGTTTTGTAAAAATATAGAACATTAAAAATTATAAGAAATTACTTTTAGGATAAAATGTATTAAAAAAATGTGAGATATGTTTTTGGGCTGAGTACATTTTTTTCTTTGACTGTAGTCATTAACTTTGGGTTTTCACCAATAATAACAGATTTTGACAAGACCTGAAGAAAGACTGTCTAAAATGTCTATATAGATGCGCAAATAAATATTTAAATCTGTATATAAAATTGTGATGTCAGATGTACATAAGAATTTTCTAAAATGAGAATATTTACAACAAAGACCCTCAAAATATATTTATGATCATTGATTTTCAAATTCAGCAGCAAAAATATCAAGAAAAAAAACCCTGCTCAATTATATACTATTTCTATTATTAATCTATACAAACTCTATACAAATTCTTTACTTTTTTTTTTATATAATTAGTAATACATATAAATAAAAAAAGTTGTGGAATACCTACAAGTATAATCACACATTGTAAAGGTACACATCACAATCGCAACTAAATGAGTAATGGCATATAAAATTCATAACAGATCAGTCTTCTTATTACTATAATCATGTAAATTATATTATACACTTTTTTTTTTCCAAGAACAATATTTACTGTACAATGGAGCATTCAAGGCAAAACAAAGTGGCAATATGTTCAGTTCTTCAGTGGCTACAGATGTGTGCCAAGACTATGCAGGTTCTGCTAGAGCAACTTATATTTTTTATGCATTATTGAAACCAATGTATGTTATTCTTACTAAAATATTTTTGGATGTGGTGTACCATAATAAAAAACAACATAGCGAGAAATTTGTAAAAATGTATGTACTTTTTAAATGTTATATATTATGCATTGTAACTTTTATGTTTTTAATTATATATTATAATTTTAACTATGGAAATTTAATACATTTTTTGCAATCATCACAAGAAAACCTGGGTAATTTTTGGCTGGAACAATAACCTACCTTTCATCGTCGGTGTCATAATAGCAAGACACGGGTTTTTTTGTTTTGCCGTGATGTCGAAGCTTAACTCCGCGTATTTCATGCATCAAACTACAATCAAAAGTGCAAAGCATGCGTGACATGGAAGAAAAAAATATCAATTAACACCTTATTCGACACCACAATCTATGATTAGTGATGTCTAATCTTAGTTTGTGGTGTCTGACACACATCACCAATAGTTGTAAAAATTATTTATGAGAAAGATGTTCCAGAAGGACTTTTCCCAAACCTCAGTACATTCTTATAATCACAATCAAGTGAACTTATCAACCAACAAATGTGTAACATGCAAGTATGCAATATATATGTATATCATATTGAACAGTTATTGAGATTAAATATTTGAATGTACAAGTTATATTTAACACCATGCAAATGATAATTGTTCAAATCTTGTATAAATATTCAGAATTTTGAAAATATAAATTTAAAAACGCTCATTGATTACTAACATGCAAAACAAATAAACAAATGGTCAGCAAAAATAATGAAAATTCACAATATACATTTAGTGAAATAATAACAAACCTAAGATTCTGCTGTATTTCTTGGAAATTGACGTAATGGTTAAATCGAGAAGAATCAATTATACCTACACGACTGCCAGGTCGATTTATTGCATTTTGAGTATTACCAATGGGCTGAAAAGAATACAAAGTATTAAAATAAAATTCATAGTATTTATAATCAATAATAACATACCTGTCGAACATCAGATTCATAATGATTTTCTTCCCTCTCATCAGGAATAAACTTTCCGCTACGTTCCATGTGTCTTCTTTGATGTTCAGCTCTAAGTTGTTGGATACGATCCATACGAGATTGTTCAGGATTAGACGGTTTTGCAGGCACATTTGTATAATTAGCTGTACTATCATCTATAGCTATGTCTCTACAATGATTTTGTTCTTGCTATAATGTAAAGGTAGGTAATAATAAGTTACTAACATACAATAGTCAATAATAGTTAAATGTAATCATGCAAAATTATCAATTTGAATTCTTAAATATATCATACAGTGTATACATTTGAAAAAAATGTTATAACTATTAGGGCTGGGAGTTTGATGTAACATTTAGTGTGCTCAAGAATTTGCTTAGTTAATTGAAATTGCATTAGGGGATCTAATTGACCACCATTTTCATATTGGTAAATAATTGAAAAGGCGACAATTCATCAATTTTAGAGACTTAAATATTTTTAACTATCTTCTAAAAATAATTCAACATTGTATAACTTGTTTTTGTTTTAATATTTTTAATTTTTAGTAATTAAGTTATAAACGCATTTTATAATACATTGAAATATATAGAGTATACATACATTTTTGTTTATTGAAAAGCATTAAAATCCCATCTTTAGATTGATATTAATTATTTTTTTTATTGAATTAAAATAAATCATTTACATTAAAAATAATTTCAATTAATGATAGCACATTAAATTTTAAATTATCTAAGTTAATGATATATTCTTTAATAATAATTATAAATTAATAATATAAAAATGATAAATTTTACAATTTAATGAAAATGGTCAAAATAATCAAATGGCGAGGGGGTGGAAAATGGGGCAAGTACCCTAGGTAGCAAAAGTTGTAACATTTTAAAAAGCGGTAAGTGTTTCAATGTATATGTTTAATAATAGGGAATGCCAAATATTATTGCCCTGAGGCGCCAAATGAAAGTTTAAAGGGTACTGTAAATCATGTTTTCAGTTACATTGGTTAAGTTATATGTGCCACTTCTGCGACAGCACGTTTCCCTTGCTGGTATAGCGCAAATGAACATAATTGATGTAAACTTAAGACACACGCACACAATTAAATATGTCGCTAATGATATCATGCCCCCATGTGAAACTAGCCTTACGTGTTTTAAAAAGTAATATATCTTTTATCTGATTCGTTACTTTAAATACTATATTAATATTTTTAATAATGCTACATTAAATGACATGTTTAAACTTCATGAACACAATACCATTTCTGCCTGTCGCTGAATTAGTCTTTGGTATTGTTCTTGAATTCTAAGTTGTTCATCACGAGCATTTCTTCTAGCTATTTCTCGCTCACGATCAGCAGAATTATCTTCTTCTGAGCTTAAAGTACCGTTTAAATCTGGTCCCCGACGAGGTTTACTACCAAATCTAAAATATTAATATTAATTAAAAAAAAGAATTATTACTACATTAAAGTAATAACTAACCTAAACATGGAACCAATCCCTTTAAGTAGTCCTGGTTTTTTTTTGTTAACAACGACTGGTGGTGTATTTGGTGCTTTGTAATTTGTCGGAGAATGAAGTGAAGACTGTCTACGGCCAATTGGATGATCATCACTCTCCTTTCCATCTAAAATACATCATTATATACGAATAAATGATAGATTTGAATTTAATAAATTAAGTTAAAAATAATTTTTAACTATTTATGTTATATAATAAAAAAAGAAAAATGCTTATTTAAGTAAACGATAAGCAGTAGATTCTTATTACATCAAACTTTGATATCTCGAATTTCTGTAATTCAAACTCAATTTAAATTCCTTAGAAATAATTTACATTACAATAAAATTTGATATCTCAAATATCCTGTTGCAATTGAGTTTTAACATCCTGAGAGTTGACTGTTTAGACAACATGCATTGCAGCTCACAGGAAACTTAGAAAGACAAATCAATGAGAGTATTGAGTTGGAGGCATCACAAATTACCACTTTTTTATAAATATAAACAATATGGGAAATAGAGTTATGACAAATATAAAAATACTGTAATCAGTAATTATAATATAATGCTTGGATATACACTAAACAATCTTTAAATTGTATCATTTAACCTAACCTAATCAGGTACCTTAATGAAATACTTAAAAATATACATATTAATAAACAAACATGTTTCCAATCGAAGTTCATGTAAAGACAATGGACCATCTTTGTCGATTGCAGCTCTAAAACTTTCATCACATCCTCTACCACGCACTACTTTAACATTGCCCCGTTTTGATCCACCATCGGTCATTTGCACCTCTTGAACCATTGTTTGTAATGATTCCAGACTGGACGATTTTTTCAATCCTAGAGAGGGGCCAAGTTGGTGTTTTGACGGAAAACCATTGCCTAAATAAAATAATTAAGAATACAACTGCATAGACAATATTAATTTGTATTATACTAACGAATTTTGCCATCATCGCCACGCTCTTCACGTAATTTTTTATTTCTTTGATATGTATCAGTATTTTTGGCGTCTAACGTTGCATGTCGTTTTTCAGACATACTTTGCCGCCCAAATGCATCTCTTGAAAATCCTGAGTTGGCATTATCCAATGATAATCTGTATTAGAACAAAATACGCAATTTCATAAAAAATTTTTTTTTAATTTGTGTTATAAGATTAAACATACTGGCTAGCATAAGTAACATCAGTACTAGTTGAACCAGTTCTTGCTGGTGGAGATACAATTGGTGATGGTTTTTCTTCTTCTATTTTTTTCCGGCTAAACAAATAATTTACACAAAATATTCTGAATTAAAATTATAGATATAATAAATTATTTGATTTTACAATCATCTTACTATTTAAAACCAACCAAATATTTAATTTTATAGATCATTAATTCTGGATAACAGTAACCAAAAATATTTACCAGAATACAAGCACGCAACCGTCTTTTAGATGGTTAGAAAATAGTTTAATGTGTAATGAACTTTTTGAACATTCATAGAATATAGAAATCAGTTTAGAGTTGCGTCTAATTTTAGTTTATTACTTATTTTAAATGTCCAGTTAATATTTTGAATTTGTGAAAATTAATCAAAAACAATTTTAAAAGCCTATCTCTTAGACCAGGAAATGTGTACTCTTGGGTAACTCTCAAGACAGAACTAAAATTATAACTATAAAGTATAAAGAAATGATTAATAGTTGAAGGTTGGACAACGACCACTTTAATTTTTATAGAACTTCCCCCTCTTAAATGTTGAACTACTATGTTTTCATCTATATAACAATAAAGATATGTTCAAAAAGATAACAGAAAATATTTTAAATATTTGACTTTGAATTTGTGGTAATTTGTTTAATCTTCATCATTGAATATAATGCATAATAAATATAGACACCAAAAAATAAATTTACAATTCGGTTTTGTTAAAATTGAAATTAACATCAAATATTATACTACATTGATAATAGAACCAAAACATACATTTAAGACCCCAACATAGAACATAAATAAATATATTATTTTTAAACACGACCTAGACTATCAAATTAAGTTCAATTTACATTTAAGATTACATTAATAAAATAGTTATAAATGTATATTGTAAATGAAACTGATATGGATGTAATTTATAATCTAAATTGCTAATGACGAATAATACAAACCCTTACCTAACAGTATTATAAATTGGAGGGTCTTCTTCAATGATTAACATCTCTTCTGATGATGGGTTCACAGTAGGGCTATTCAATTTTTCTTCTTCTTTCAACATAATTGTTGTTTGATGCGTCGCCTGTAATTATTAGTTAATTTGTAATCAAATTACATTTGCAGTGAATTATTATATTTAAGTTTACCTTGTAATAACTTTCATTACGCAATGCATTATAACGATTTGTGTGTCCAGTTAACCTTTCCAAAACTGGATTACGAATTGCAATTCCATCTAAATAAATAATAATTTATTTATGTTAGAACATAATAATTACGTGATAATTAATAAATTAATTTTTAATTATACAAATATTTCTAAAATAATTTTAAAGTTACCTGGAGAAGTAGCTGAAGGTACTGTATTCCGTTTTGAACTCTCCGAACCTTGTCTTTGATGCATAAAGATAACAGTGGTATCAGAGTTTTCACTTGTTCCAGAATTTTCTGCCGTATTTTGAGTACTACTATCACTGCTTTCAGCTCGACTAAATGTTTCAGTGTTTGCTGTTTAAGAAATCATAGATAAATATGTATAATTTCTGTTTAAAATATAAAATATACAAAATAATAATAAATTAGTTACCTGATGAATCTGTAAGTAGACTTGACGAAGAGTCACGACTACGTCTTCTATCTAATGTTGGAGAACTATTACGTCGGCGGGCTACTATTAATGAGATAGCTCCTGGTACTGGCCCAGGGTCAACATTCATCATAGTTCTACGTAACGTTTCCATAGCTGCTGCATTAGTTTGACCAATTAATGACATACCATTTATATACAATAGCTGATCATTAGTTCGTAATCTACCATCCCTAAAATGCATACCAATTTGTTTACCTTAATATTATACAAATATTTATATTAATAAATACCTTGAAGCTGCACCGCCGTGAATAACATTTTTGATAAATATACCTAAGTCTTGAGAGAAATCTTTATCGTTAGAGTTGTTACTAGATGATGTTTTACCTTTAACACTAATACCTAAAAAAGAAATATTTATTAGCATGTAAAAATAATAAATTAAAAGTATTTTACCTAAACCTGCTTTTTCTGAATCATGCACAGGAATGTCAAAGGTCAATATTTCTTTATGTCTCCAAGGAAATGTTTGTGTTTCTTCTAAGCTTTTAACATACTCCTAATAAATAATTATGAATTAAATATACATTTAATTTATACAAACAAAAATTATAATAAATTAAAGAAATGTATCATTTTCAAGCATTTATTAACAATACCTGAACAGTATTACTGTTGGATTTTTCATTTGTTTCTACTGATTGATTGTCTGATGAAATCCCTACTTCTTGTTCATAATTTTCATCTAGATCCTTTAGAAAAGAACCAATTATCATAAAAAACATAAACTTATAAACCCATCACTCTCAGTTAACTCACTTGATTAGATTTCTGGCCAACTTGGCTAATTACTACATCTTCTTGCCTGGAAACAATAATTTTAACTTTTGCACCAGATGGAACTTTCCGCAATACAGCAACTGCTTCAGATTGAGTCTTGCCTGTCAATTCTGTACCATTAACTGCTAATAATCGATCACCTGGCCGTAATCGTCCATCTTCTACAGCAGCTCCCTAAAAAAGTTGAAATGAAATTAGTTAAATTTTTAGACTAACAATTTTTAAATATTACTTTTGGTAACACATTTTTGATGTAAATTGGACAATTTCCACCAGCTGGATTATCTCTTGTTGTTATACTAAATCCAAGCCCATGAGGTCCTTTAGTAAGTTCTAATTCCATTTTCTTTCCAATTTTTCTTGTGTTAGCTACCATCAAGATATTGGAAGCTGTATGTGTTGCAGCTGATATTTTTTTGGTTGGCGAAATGGTGGCAATTTTAGTATTTGAGTTGACTGTAACATTACACAAATAAGTACAAATCAATTTTGAGAACAAATTTTAAAAATGTTAAAATTAAATACTTTTATCTTTATCAGATGATCCTGCAGAGATATTTTCTTTATTACTATAAGTTGCAGTGGTGTTTGAAGATGGTTTAGGAAACACTGGTGGCGGTGGCTGTTTTTTGTTACCAGTAACCGTATTTTGACTAGTTTGAATGTCCATATTATTTTTATGTTTTACTACTCTAAGTCTGAGCTCTGAAGAGTGTAGTGAATCTCGAAATATTTCTTGTATTCTGTTAATGACAAATATTACTAACATTTATCTTAAATATCTATTATGTTTCTTAACTTACGCATTAAATGGTTGATCCAATAATGACCGGCCGTTGATTTCTACAATTCGATCATATACTTTCAATCTGCCATCACAGTGCACCCGACCACCAGGTTCAATTCCTTGAACCAGAAGACCACGTTCTTTGCCAAGAGCATTGTAATCTGGGACAACATGAATGCCTAATGATCCACCACCAGTGCTAAGCACTATAAATTCAGTGCTAACAAAGTAAAATTTTTTATTAATGCATTGTTTAAATTAAATTAGTTAAATTAAATACTTTTGTGATTCAGGTAAGTGACTAGGATTTGTATTAGCTTGGCCCAACGGTTCTTTTCTTCTGTGGTCTCTGGGTAATGATAACGATAAGGCTCGATTATTTGCCAAATCAGCAGCCTCTGCCCACCGAAATCCACTAATAATGTACAGATAAAATATAGTGATTTGTTTCAAATTTAAATAGTTATTAATAACAAAATTAAGATATAAAGTTCAAACCTTGATGACTCTCCTAAGAATTGCATCGATAAACGATTCGAAGAATCACGATGAAATGATGGTGCTAGAAAATGATTGCTAATTGGTGGTTTATCTTTGTCACCTAATTCTAATTCATCTTCATCTTCTTCAGAACACCTCCATTTGTCAGATAAACCAAAACCATTGATTTTTATGTAATCATCCTTAAATGTAAATCTTTAATTAGGTATATGATATAAATTATTAACTTTAAGTTAAACAAGTTCAATGAAATAGTTTTTTTATTTAAACTAAACATATTTAATAACATACGTCATCATTTTTTTATTTATTTTATTTTTATTTAATCAATTTTAAATTACATTAACATTAAAAATATCACATTAATACACATTTACACTTTTACTTCTAAGACACACGCAAACTTAAATTTAATATCAACTTTGAACTAGCATTAATGTGATATAGTTTGTCTGCATGAATGCTATTGTAAAAATATTACTCTGAGTAGAGCATTGATAATGAATATGTTTTAAAAATGTCATATTATAGATTTTATCATTGATTGTAAATTCTATTTAAGTAGATATAATAATGTTTTATTACTAAAAAAAAATATTTTTATTAATATAATTTATTAAAATTGTCATTACGGTTCTTAGTTTTTCTTTAGGGTCGTGAATCATAGGAGCTGCTGACCATCGTTTAGATTGACCCGATGCAGCAGGCCTAGTATTGCTATTTCTTTTGCCCAAATTGTTTGCTATACATATAAAAGAAAAAAAATTTAAAAATCTGAAATTTAAATGTCTTGGTATAGATTATACTTACGACATTCAAGTGGTAATTGATTAAGAGCTGGTTCACTACCTCTACGGACATGTAAAGCTGGGAAACCACAAGCAATTTGTTCATTAGTGACTTCAATATCTGTTTGTAATCCATCTCGGCTCTAAAAATTTAAATATTTAAAATAACTATATTATATAATATACTATATAATATCCTTAATTATTAATCATAATTTGAGTTTATAATAACGAGTCACATAAAACAAAAGATGGTCATGAGAACTACTTAAATGAAAATATACCGTATAACTGTCGTTCTATTTTGTCACGTCCCATTAGAATTGCGTGCATTCCAGTAAGCTGCCTTTGGCGGCAGTTACTGTTGCGACTCGCGTATGAACGGACCCGTCGGCGAGGTCGGATGAAATAAAACTTCATTATACTGTGCGTTACATTACTGTTTTATCAAGTTTTTACTATGGTTTCACAAATCTTTTGTACACACATCGACACATCACATGGAAAATTCTAAATACATCATGGTCGTAGTGTATCATATATGTAACTATATACAAGGCCGTCTGTAGAAATATTTCACAAGGAGGAAGGGGGAGGAGCAACGAAAAATATTTCGTAAATGTTAAATCAGTGATTTAAATAATTGAGTGTTTGTACAACGCGTATATTATTATCGAAGGCGGCGGGGCCGCGGGCCCATTGGTCCCTCCCCCAACAGGCGGCATTGTGTACCTAACTGAGTCTATAGTTATACAAGGAACTTGTAATAATAATACACACGTAAGTCTTATTATAATAAGAGCGACCGACAGATGTGAATCCTACTTCAACCGAATAATCCTGGGAAAACGGGATATGTTTCTGTCGGAATGCGGAAGCGATGAACATTCTCGTGAAGTGCATACATTTGTGCACAAGTGCACATAGGGCCATCAACATCATATAATATTTTATGGTTAGGAATTAATAGTTTTATTATTTAGTGAATATTATGCGTGGATTGCACGGCAAATTCAAAACGGTTCGGTCGAAAGTAGGTCGCGGAGAAAATAGCTTACGCAGACTACTGTTTTTCTAAGACAGTTGGACGACGGGAAATATCGCGATTCCCGGTTACCTGCCCGTGAGCTCCGTATACCATATTGCCATTTATGTGATACTAGCTGCCAGACCTTCCTCCGGAAGAAATTATTTTTTTATAATTTAATTTAAAAACATAAGACTATTTTTTGGCTATACAAATGATACAACGATAATAAAAGAAAAAAAAGAAACAGACATCGTTATCGGTGAATATATGAAAATAATTGGTAATTAGTTAATTATTATTATTTTATTATTATAATGAGGGTTCAAAACCGGTTTCCTTCGTCTCCAAAATCAAGTTAGATTCTTATATATATAGATAGATTATGTAGACCTAATAAGCTCTAACTAGCTTCTTCCAAGTATTAAACTTTTTAGTCAATGTTTTAACCTATTAATCCTTTTTAGCTATTTATTGTTTTATTTGTATTGAACATAATATGACAAACAGATAATATAACTATAATAATTATAATTCAAAGGCAGTTTGTTTTTATTTTGAAATATGCCTTAAAAATGTAATTATTATATACTTAATTCCTTATTGGAGGAAAATGGAAAGTAGAGAAAAACGGCCAAGATGTTTTTTTCATAAGGAAAATGGATTGTGGACACTACTATGCTCTAAAGGCTCGAACACAATCCATGTTATTATATTGTATACATAATACGAGCGAGGAATCACAATATTTCCCATCGGACAGTCTTGGGAAGTTGGGACGATTGTCAACGTCTGTCATTTTTTTCGCGTTCGATTCCCGATCAAACTGTTAGTGCGTCATCGTACGCTGTTGTTTTTATAGAAATATTACAAATGTAATGATATAATTTTACGAAACGATTCTTGGCAGTATATTATACGTATTTACGGGACTCATCACTTCTGCATCCTAAATATTTAGACGTAAAATTTACGTATTAAATAGGTACATTATATTTACAGGTTCCAGGAGTGGAAGGCAGTTAAATCTATAGGTTTCTACGACTGCCATTTAGAATTCATTTTATTCATTAGGTACCTGTTATGTATTATTTATTATATTACTAAAATGTGTGCGTATAAACTGTTATAGAATCCAAGTGAAATCTTGGTAAATTAGTCACGGTATGCGCCATCCGACGATTGTTAGTAAAGCAAAATCTGACGTTTATTATTGTACATTATCGTGGTATATTATTCATGCTTAAGTCCTATATATTCCTATGTACCACGTACATGCCAGATCTGCAACAATATTATACATTTTACCTGATGGAGGTACATAATTCGTCGTTACGAAAAAAAAGGCTATAAAAGTGTTTATTTGCAATATTGACTTCAATATACCTTACAAATGAATATCAACACAACAACTGCATAAGTATGAGCAGGGAAATTTTTTAAGTTTCTCTGTTGCATCGGGTCAATGAGTATTGTTTAAAATTAGTCTTAATATTGGAATTAGGTGTATATAGTGTTGTACCTACTTAATTGATTGACAATGATAAAATATATAAAAAGGTTGTTTAATTTTTATGTTGACCAAAAAGGCGTATACTCGAATGTATTTTTACTAAAATAAATTTAGAAGAAGCCAACAGTCAATAATTATAATAAACTGGTTGGCTGAAATTTTTATTCAGTGGCAGGTGATAAAAAATATAGTCTCGCGAGTCACATCAAATATAAAGGTCTATACATGGCCATTTATGACTATTACCTACTTAGAATTATTAAAAATTAAAAGTAAAGTATGACATATAAATACGTTTTAATTATTTATTAAATTGGTTATGACGGCTGACGACAGTTCAAAGAGCTCCCTACCTTCGTTTTTATTCATCATATTTATAACATTTTATTTAGCATAAAATAAAAAAAACAAAAAATATGGTATATCTTTGTCCTATAGATTAGTTAATGTATTACATTTCCCAATTAATATATAGGCACTTAAACTAGAAAACAATATAATACATAAATAATTATGTTTTGTGAATTAATATCTTACGTGGAATATATCCGGACTAGATGTAACACTAGCTCCATCTCCACCGCCGTGTTGGTGAGGACTATTGCTATCACCGTCGTCATAGAGTGCAACAATTTGCTCTCTATCATCTGCCACATCCCTGAGACGATCATCTGGATCCAAGATCCCACCATCACTCTGAGACTGCAAACTGTGGACGGTCACCCATGAATTGGAGCTCTAGAATATGTAATTAATAATTATAGATTGTTGTAACAAATTTGATATTTAATAAAAAAAAATAAAATATTGGTGATACACTCTTACATCTTATTTCAGTATCCAACACAAAAAATGATGACGAATATAATTTAGACAAAAAATGCAGATTAATATCTACATACAAGAATACAATATTTATTATTTGTATTCATATTTTTTCAGGTTACCTCCCTATCTTCACTTCTTACGTTATGTTTAATATGTTTGGTCATTTATAGTGTTTAGAAAAAAAAGAAACAACCGATAATTAATAATACTAGGTACTTATAGAGTTGTTTCAAGTTGTGTGTTGTTCCAAATTAATAAAAAAATATTTCAGTCGCTCCGTCGTGTTAACATCTGAGATAATTGCACCATATAATTTGTACATAGGTAGTTAAAAAACCCATTAAGTTTTATAAACTGTGAATAAAAGAATAATGGTAAATGGTAAGCACATTCTAATAGATTTATAATGGGGAATCATCAAAATTCCTGTCTCGTTACAAATGTTACACTGTTACAATATTAACGAATGTTGATGCCTACAAATAGAAACCAAATCTAAAATTATAAATATTTAGTACAACATAGTCTATATTTTTAAAATAATTGAACACAAATTAAGTATTTTTAAAGGCTATGTTTAAGTACTTAATCTATTTAATATAGTTCCTGGTGGTTACATTTATTAATACAAAAATAACGTTTAATTAAAAAGGTTTGATAATTATAATATTTTTTTTGTCTCATCGTCCAAAGTTGAATATATCCGACGAGAAAAACTACTAGTGAGATTTTATCACACACCACAACGTTTAGGCAAAAAGCTAGTATTTTATATACATGTAGTAGAATGTATTTATATAATTATACAGCTGCTTTGATGAAATGTATATTTCTATCACTAACTCAATACCTATTTTATGACGATGAACCTGTTTATTGTTTATATAGTCGTATTTTTCAATTGACATATAATACCTTATCAGATTAAGCCCTGGGTTAGATCAGTCAATATACTGAATATACTTGAAAATAGATAAACTAATGCTTCTGATAATAATTATATTATATACTGTGGTACAAGGTTTTAAATAATAGTTAGTCATTTTTGATATAATAAAAGTAGACATTTAATTAAACGTGATGTTATTCAATTACTACATATTATTGTGTAAACAGTCATCATTGTCTTATTAGTATTTTAATATGGCAAAACATTGTTCTTATTTTTTATTTGCAAATGATAATTGCTGTAATTAATTTAATATTGTTACACAACCCATAATCGGATAACGGTTAAAAGGGAAACTTAAGCACCTAATTTATTTTTTTTAAATGTAGATTAGTTGACAGCGATTGATCTAGATTCCTAGACGTTTCCTTCTGAACTCTTCAATAACATAGTTAGACAAATAATATAAAATGGCGTCATAATATTCACCTAAAATAATTAGGTACAGGTCGAGGTAAAGGTACATCAGCCATAAATTAATATTTTATTAAACAAAAATTATTATTTATTTTACAGTTTTAAGTAGGTATGTATAACTTTTGATACTTCTAAATATACAATATACAATAAATATTATTTCATACCTAATAGAAGCCAATGCAATTGTTTTGTAGGAATATTCATAATAATGCGTATAGAAACACATTTTTTAAATGCTGACGTAGAAAAATGATACGAGTTAATAAACTCCCTCATAATATTTATCAGTCATCATCTTACATAAAGTGAAAACAATAATCATAATTATTTATAATATTATAGTGTGTTATAAAAAATATGTATACTTGAGATCTCTGCGAATATTATATCTCTATATTGCATACGAATGCATATTTCATACTTCAATGGGAAATTAATGTTATCGCGGTTTATAATTTATTCAAACATAAAAAAGCATTTTTTCTTTACATAAACCGTGGTTGAAAATCGTTGGATAAGACGTAATGATACAATTATTTAACAGTTTAATTTTAATTAAAATATCAATACATTTACATTACCTATTGAAGTATAACAAGTTTAATATTACTCCAGGTTTGACACAAAAACATTATTGTTTTAGAAAATGTATGTAGGTATCTTAACTTATAAGCATATTGCATATTGATTAGTACCTAGGTACTATAGTAGACTTTCGATATCCCAAATATAGCACCCACTGAGTAAAAAATAATGATGACATAGAGACAATAAAATAAATTGTATTATAATGTTGTTATAGAATTATAAAAACTACGAATATAGAAAAAATTGTTTACTTCTATGCTAGGTACAAACAAATGTGTATTTTAATTTTTACCTATTTAAGGTACCTTAATAAATCTTATCTATGGGTAATAACTAATAATGAATAATATGTATGAGATACCCATGCAGAGAAAACGATTTTTTAACTTGATGTGTTTTAGAATTTACAAAGGTAATACAAAACACAATATAATTCTGAGTAGTTATTCAAAAGTAAAATCTTTTAAAACATTTAGGTGCCTACCTAATAGTTTTTTTTCACTTAAGTGTACACTTTGCATAATTAATTTTATTTGGTTTTAAATAAAACAATAAAAATGTAAATCATAAGAAAAATGTATTTTCATTCTGCTTAATAAAATAGATTCCACGCTTTCGTAATTGCGTATATCTTGAGAAATGTTTATAAAATAAACATAATGATTTTAAAAAATAAGTAGATTATTATAATTTTTGCAGGAAGACAGGTTTAAACGGCACCATTTTATAAAAGTTGATCCATCTCATAATTATTATACATGTAAATTTTTAATGAATTAGTATATTATTGCTTTAAAATCTATGGTAAAAATATTAGATAATAAGAAATCATAGTCTGCAAGGGGTTAATGACACGACGAGCGAAGCGTGACAATGGTCTCAACTCTCGGTTAATGTCTCATTTTACCTTTTAACAATATTGTTATACAATATAGGTCATATTTAATATAACCTATTTGTTAATGGTTTCAATTAAGAAATAATACCTAGTTTAAAATATATTCTGAACGTAATACGTAGTGTACATATGTTATTTGCAATAAATTTGTAACTGTAGAAATACCTCGCCGGGTTCGGTCGATGATACTTTATTGAGTTGTTGAGCTTTTTGAACTTGATAAGTTTTTCTGCGTCCAAATACTTTGGCCAACTTTCCAATGACAGATGCACTTCGTTTACCACAGTTGCAATTTTGATGAGATGTACAATTTTCCAACATGATAATGACATTATCGACAATTTATACAACGATTGTTAAAACCGAACATCTACAACAGCAGAATCGCACACAAAAAACGGACCATACGCGTAAGTAATAAGTATACATAGTTATTTAAAACCTGCACTCTAAATACATAAAGTACAAATGAAATTATTACTATTATTTTTTTTTTTTTTGCTGCTTGCAACGGTTTTTTTTTAACAGACAGGCAAGGACGTATACGAGCTTGAAACAAACAATTACAGTTTATACATGTACCGATACAAGTACCTATACTTTTTCCTATGAAAATAAAAAATATTTTTATTTGTTAACGATAATATTACTCAATTAAGAAATTATCAGTCGAATATAAATCTACGTATTATGTTCGAAAAATAAAGTAAGATACACTTTACGATTAAACTACCTAATAATAAATAATACAACTAACTTTAATACGACAATACGAAAGGATAAAAAGGTTTAATTTAACATTATTCAAAGATATGTAAGTAATATAACACAACTTACATTTTAAGAATAATCGGAATGATTTAGTAGTGAGTGAATTTTCTAATAAAATGTCTGAATTTGATTATCTTGTACAATTTATAAATAAAGTAGGTAGATATATCTCTCAAAATATATAGGTAACTACAACTTACAAATTATTAAATTATCGTTTTGTATACATCGTATTCAAATTAAAAATGTATCTAATATTATTCATATGTTTCAAATTGAATCCCTATTTATAAATTATAATTTTGATCCAGTAAATTTCGATTCTTAACACTTTTATTCAAAACACGTTTAGGTAGATAATTAAATAATACTAGCAAGGTTAGATTTTTACATAATTTTTGTTTACAGCTATATATGACACCAAAGTAGGTACCTACCTACCACACATAATATATGTATACCTATTATTGTATTATCATTTTGTGTTATCACGAAGTAAGCCCCGTTTTAACGAATAATATTTACTAAAAAAAGTTGATTTACATGAATATTTTATACATAGGTATGTAATTTTTGTTTAGAAAGGGATAGTTAATTAGTTTGTTTCACGTAGGTTTAAATTTTTTATTTTGTGTATAGGTTCTAAATGATAATTAAGTACTTCTAGAATTTCTAAAAATGCAAATTAGGTACTAAAAGTGTACTGAAATAATATAAATTTTATAATAATTATACCTTGATTGTTAATATCTCATTTTATTAATTTAATTTTAAAAAAATAATCGAAAATACTGATAAACGAAAATCGCATATTTGCATGCGATAACAATATTTTTGGTTATGCGTAGATGTGAGGTTTTTTTAATTTACGATAACATTGTAATAAATTACAAAACTATGGTGACATTTTTTAAATCAAGTGCACATATTTAACAAAGCATATCATTGTTATATATATATAAGAACCCATGTCACTCATCAGAATACCACACAACTTAACTATTTTTCTAAAACTCATACTCTACTCAAATACGAGTATACAATTGTTTCCACATTTATAGTTTTCAATAGGTTAGATTGAATGTGTATAGCAATACATAATATTATATTTTTATTCATCAAAATACAATACTAGTTGGTTAGGTTAGGTTTACCTACCCACTAAGATGTGAAAATTCATTTTAGAAACAAGAAATATAGTACAATATTGATTAAAAAATTTTATTTGAACACCAACTTATATAGGTACTTAACTATCACTACTAATAATTATTATACTTAACC